AAATGTCAATTGAGGACACAAGGTCCATGGAAATATGGGAACAATCAGCTTGTATCCAAGATAGACATTACTGCATGGATTTGCCTTTTAATAAGAATGAAATAATCATGATCAATAACCGGTGTATTGTAGAGCAATGCATTCAAAGCCTCAAAAGAAAATTTGACAGGAACAAGGCCTATAAGAAAGAATATACAGCATTTGTTACTAACCTGATTGACAAATGCTATGCTAAAATTGTTCCTCATGACCAGCTGGAACCTAAGGATGGAGGTGTGTGGTATCTGCCTCATCACGGAGTTTACCACCCAAAAAAAAGAGGACCTTGCAAGTCGTGTTTAATTGTGGAGCAAGCTATAAAGGCACCTTGTGGAATAGCCAGCTGCTACAGGGGCCGGATTTAACCAATTCTCTTTTGGTGTGCTGACCCAATTCCGAAAGGTGAACATTGCATTGATGTTTCATCAGGTGAAGGTGTCAGAGAAAACATGTGGAATTTCTCCGCTTCTTGTGGTGGCCATTAGGAGATGCATCAGTCAGCCCAGTTGAACACAAGATGAAAGTGCATATCTTTGGAGCTGCCTCATCACCAAGCTGTGCCCATTGTGCTTTAAGAAAGAGAGCAGCAGATAATATCAACAGCTAGAACAAGTATGTGACTGACACCATTTACAAAAAGCACTGGGCCTCAGCTGGAGTGAAAAGAGTAATGCATTAAGCTTTTAACTTGCATGGCATTCTCTCAATGGTCAGTTCAATCTATGACCCTCTTGGCTTCTTGGTACCTTACACTCTGTTACCTAAGTTGTTGTTGCAGGAAGCATATAGACAAAATCTGTCTTGGGATGATCCTATCGAGCCAAATAGTTTTAAAGGGCGTCTACTTGCCCAGTTGCATCATTTTGCAGATGGTAATGGTCATGGATATGGGACAGTGTCTTATTTGAGACTACAAGATGAAGGCGGAAATGTGTATTTGGCATTCATGTTTGGAAAGGCTAGAGTAGCTCTAATAAAGCAGACAGCAATTCCCCGCCTTGAACTCACTGCCGCTGTGTTGGCCGTCAAGGTGGACAGAATGTTGAAAAGGGAGCTCTCTATCCAGCTGAATAGCTCAAGCTTCTGGACAGAGTCAGACGGTGTTGAGATACATCAATAATGATACCAAACAATTTCACACCTTTGTTGCAAATAGTGGCTGCAATAAGAGAGGCTACTGATGTGTTTCAGTTGAGGTACATCAGCTCCAAGTCCAATCCAGCAAATGAGGCCTCCAGAGGTCTGTCTGCAGACAGTTTTATGTCATGCTAGAGGTGGATAAATGGCTCGGATTTCCTCTGAAGGCCCGAGCAGGAGTGGCCAGAGCCCTTTGAACCCCACCCTGTTTGCTCTGAGGACCCAGAAGTGAAAAGGGATATCCTGATAAATACCAATGACACACAGCCTCATGATGCTACTACTAAGTTTGTCCATTATTTTTCATGCTGGGCCAAACTTAAGATGTCAGTTGCTTGGTTGTTTAAATTAAAGGATATTCTGCTGAGCTTGAGTGCGAAGAGGAAAGATTTGATGGCAGTTGGTCAATCTGTTGACTCTTCTATAGCTCCTAGGAGGATAGAAGAGGTTGATGACCAAGCTACCATAGCTAAGTTGCCTGGTTACCATCACTGCCCCAAGTGCCCCAATGACCACGGGCACCACAGATGCCTTTTATATATATATATATATATATATATATATATATATATATATATATATATATATATATATATATATATATATATATATATATATATATATATATATATATAATTTATTTATTTATTTATTTATTTTTTTTGAGGTTGAAAGGATTCTGGCATGAAGAAAGTGAATTCTTCTGTGGTTAAACTTCAGATACACAGATTCCTGCATTGTTATTGTTAGATGCCATCAATCAACCAAAATGTGGGGGTCTGTCAATTATGTTATATTCCAAGTACTTCGTGTTCTGCCAAACTTCTCCCTTCACTAGGTAACTTGTCTAGACAGGTCAGAAGTTGTGCTTGTAGGTAGAGGAACATAATAATACAGGAACATATAATTTTACTCAATTAAACACAAAGCCTTTTTCAATAAGTTCATAAAAGGTTAAATTAAAATGAAATCAAAGAGTTAGGTTTTTCTCTGCAAAGTCGAACCAATAGAGTGACTGTACTTTTAAACAAAAATATGCTCCGTATTATAGAAGCAGTGATGGGCAGTAGCGCCGCTACATGTAGCGAAGCTATTAGTTTAACTACATTTTCCAGTAGCTTGACCGTAGCGTCGCTGCTTTATTTATCAAGTAACTTTCCTGTAGCGACGTTATTGTTTTGATCAAGTAGCGACGTAGCGTCCACAAACGCTACAAAATCCAGGGCAAAACTAAGAAATGAAACCAGGTTTTCTATTTTGAAACAACAATCAGCCACAAGCTACTGTAAATAGCAGTTTCAGCTGACGCTCTTATAAGTAGCATAGTAGCACAGGCACACTCAGTAGGGTTAAACAAGCGCACCCTTTCCGAGGCTGTCGTTCTATTGGCTGGAAAGGTTGCTAGGCAACGATCCAACTGCAGTCTGAGAGAGCAAAACAAATCCGCAAGCAGAGCCTACGGATTTGCGAGCGTAACAGAGTGCGGTTTGTGCGCGAAGAGAAGGAGGCAAGCGAGAGGAGAAAATATCTGTGCAAGAAGCATTAAATCTGAGAGATGAAACAAAGAGAGAAGAGAAAATATTTGAGAGAGAGCGCATGTTTTGAGTGTGAGCATTATAAGTTTTGAGAGCAAGAAGATGAAATTCTTTTCTCAAATTGAAATGATGTGCTCTTGCATTATGGCAGGATAATTCTTCCATATCTATGTGCCACTAAGATACTCTAATTAGAGAGCAGTAGTGAAACTTCCATATTGTATTTTCATGGCCTAGTTTACCTGACAGGATGTTTACATAAATCTGTTTTTAGGCTGTGCACAGATAAGATTTTTTATGGAGGAACAGCTCTACCGTATATAAAATAAATACATAAATAAATAAATGCTCAATAAATAAATAAATAAGCATTCAATTAATTGCCTCCAAAAATACAATGAATAAATATGTAGGTAGAAATTAAATTAAATGGTGAGACATATATATATATGTATCTCTTAATTAGCTTCTTTATTTTTTCACCTTCTTTTGTAAACAGTTTTGTTTGTTACTTGAATCAACTGTTTAATTGAGGTCTTTTGTAGGGTTTTGTTTTCCCTAGAGATGTCCATTTAATGCAAACTCATAGCCATGTCTCGGTGTGTAGAACACTACACAGTACCTTTCATTTGGTTCTAATAACAGCAGATTGTTTACTAGTTTGTCTACTAGTAATTACTTTAGTTTTTATTTTAATATGCTGATCATAAAGCAATGTTTACACTGTGATATGTCATTGGCTGATCTTTAATAAATATTTTAACTAGTGTGTCAGACTCATTTTGAATTGACATTAGGTTGGTACAACGTTAAGTAGCTTCTGATGTAGTTAAGCTACTTTTAACACATTAGTGTAACTTAGTTTGCTATAATTCTTTAGGTGGTAGCTTTTGTGTAGTGAAGCTTAATTTATTGTTGAGTAGCTGATAGCTTAGCTCACTACACTGGACAAGTAGCTTGCCCAACACTGTATAGAAGCAGTAACATTTCTAAATGATATTGTCCTTAAACATCCTTTTGTCTTTTTTTTGTATGAATAGTGTCAAACAAGTGGATACATGAGCGTGGACAAGAATTCAGGAGACCATGCGGCCTCACAGAAGTGGACTGAAGGTTGCCTCACATCTATACCCAGCCTCTTTGGTGCCTGTTTTGGTCAAAATTTTGCAACCAGACACATAGCCAATGGTTTGCAGGGAATCCTACATCAATGAGGCAAAGTTCCTCAACTTCCGTTCTATATGATAATTTAATCAGAAAAAAAAAGAAAAATTGATATCAATATCTACATTAAAAACTAAAACATAACCAACACTCAATTTTCTCAAGGATTTATTTTCAGATATGTACTATTTATTTATTTTTCTGGTCATTTTCTCTATTGATTAAAGCCCTAATGGTACAACGTAAGCTTTCGGATGAACATTTTCCTTTAATTGTGCCAATTTAGTAGCTTTTATTGACCTGCAGAGGACCAACTGTCTAATTGATTTGATGTGTTTGTCAAATGGATTCACCTAGTTTATGTTTTATAAACTTTACCTGACCTTTGCCTTGATGTTTTTGTTTTTTGTTGTTGTTTTTGTTCTTTTGTAACTGCTTTTTATCTGGTGCTGAAAAAGTTCAACACTTAAAAGCATTTCAAATTTTTTTGCATGGAAATTTGGTCTAGAAATGTAACAATTTCCCTGCAAAGTGCACACAAACCCTGTCCACAAATTATGTATATTGTTTTTATTTATAGTGTGTTTAAATGATGACATTTTGTATTCTCATTCCTCAAGATGGCAACCAAAAAGTCAATAAACAGTGTGTTTTATTGAAATGCTATGTAAATCTTGTTGTTTATCAATTTCAAGGTGTAATAAGTTATTATTCATGATAAAACATTGCTTACAACTATAAACTGACCCAGTGGCTGTATGCCATCAATTCCTGCGAGGGCCAGAGATAATTATGTTAACGAACAAGTGTAAAAGAGTTTGGCCAAATCAAAAAAGAATCAATATACAGTATGTCCATCCAGCTGAAGTTTCTACAGGCTGCAGTAGTCCAGGCAAGGAGAGATTAACTCTAGTTCTGTTTATTACAATATCAGAATAGTTGGAAATAAATGATTCACGACAGGCTTCAAATGACAAAGAATTTAAGTTTAATAGATCTTTAAAGTGAACAATGACATGTAAAGCATTCAGTGTCTTAAAGCAATGAACAACATTTAAATATTGAAAATATTTGGTCATAGCAACAAGAGCTACAAAACCCCCTTTACAAATCTTACATTCAAACTACAAATAAACCACAATTTACATATTTATTCTGAGTAATAAGAAACTATACAGCACATTAGGTCCTTAGAATAAGGATTAAATTATTTGATGCTGTTTAAGAAAATATTTAGAGAAGAATGTTAACATGGATCCAGCTTTGTTTTCTGCAGCGCCAGTCCAGGAATGGCTCGTAAATGAATGACAGAAACATCTACTAGATTATTCTAACATTTGTCAGTCTGATTTCAACATTGATGAAATGTCTTTCCAACCTTATTAAGAAGCCTGAACATGTTGGAGCACTTGGAATGCAGTATGTGACTGAACCTTCAGGACAGAGTGCCTGAAGGGCAACCCTCTGTGTTCTGGAAAAAGTACAATAGGTAATAGGTAGGTGGCAAGAAGTACTAAAGATGTCTGTGGTAAGAGAAAATTATAGTGGAAATAATTTTTTATTAGCTTGGTGTTTGACTGACACATAGCAAAGAGTTTTTGCCACAAGGCACTGAAGCATTTAACCAGATCTCTTTAAAGCTTTTATGCTTGGTTGCTGCAGAATGATTAGGTGTTAGACAACATCAGCACCCTCTTACATCTAAAAGCTTTCATTTTCAAAATATTTGAAAATACTAATACACATGTTAAAACCAAATGTTGGAATTTATATATTGAGATCTGAATCACTAAAAGTATTTTTTAGAATAATCTACTGACATCCATTTAGTTAAAATGTTCAATTTAGTTCCTTTTTAGTGAAACGTTTTTATGCTTTCAACCCTTTCTCCTTTTTAGATTTTTGTATTTTTATGTTAAAAGCTTTAGGATTTGTTTCTCAGATGATGGATAGTTTTCAATGTCATTTGAAGAATCTGCCAGCAATGACCCAAATGTAGACGTCATTTGGACATAAATCATGTTGTCAATTCAATATCATCTCAACCAATCTTTGCACAGTGAGTTACTTATATAGCACTTTATCAAGCAAGAGACCCCCAAAGGACTTAACATCCAGTCATTCATCCGTTCAATCACACATTCAAATGCTGATGATGATGATAAGGTACATTGTAGCCACCGCTGTCCTGGGGCACACTGACATAAGTAAGGCTGCTGTACAACTTGTGCCACTGGCACCTCGGACCTCCAATAGCAGCCATGGTGGCCCAAGTATAGAACGATGGAGACATAGGATACTTAAGGTATACGTGTTCCTATTGTCTCAGTCCGAAGGAGCTTTGTTTACTGTACCTGGCACATAGAAACATTTTATTTACAAATAAAAAAAATCTCCTTTTAAACAACTATCCTAAAAAAATTCTCCCATGTAGTCCATAAACAAGAGACAGACGCTTTTATCTGTTTACCAAGAAGATGCCACATCAAAAGCTCAACAGCTTTGTTGTTCCAACCTGTTAAGTGTTCAGTCACCTTAGGGTTTATAATTATTGCCCGATTTTTAAGATAGAGAGTAATTATTACTCTTTCCGGGCTCCATACAAAGGTTTGAGCTCCGTGTACAGAGCCTTGCTCTCGCTTTCTGGTGCAGGGGGCGGACACATCTGATCCAAGGGGACGACAGGCTTGCAGAGAGATAAGAAACGCTGAGAGAAAAAAAACAAAACATGAAAAACCAATGTGAATATTCTCAAAATGCTGTAACCTCCATCCTTTGCTGTATCTTTTTCTATCTTTTTCTTTTTTAGAAGGTGCCTTTCCCCAAATTAAGTAAAACTGAAAGAAAAACTGTCATCCCAATATTTCCTTTTTTTTGTTTCTAAAAAAATGCATTTTGCTCTGTAACTTGTTTTTATTTGATTAGTCTTCTGCTATGATCATTCTTACCTGTTGGTATGTGCCTTGTCCTTGGAATAATTTAAAAAGCACAAACAGAGGGATGAGTGAAAGAGAGACACTGGCAATAAACCATCCCAACACATTCGCCCATAGTGGATAAACGTAGGAGTTACTGAACTTCAGTGGAGAGTATTTGATTATCGAGAAGATGAAGGTTCCCTGTGAGGAGATGAGATGGAGTGGATTAAAAAAATTAATAAACTGGAAGACACTATCATTCAAACGACAGGTTTTCTACAGCTTTAGGTCTTGTGGCTTAAATCACAGAGGGAGATGTTTGATTTTGTGTAGGGTGAAAATGTTCTATTTTGATTTAATATGGTCATTTCAGTATATCAATTGACAACCATCATTTTTTTAATTGAATTTCTCATATTTAGGGGGGGGGGGGGGAGTACATTTAAATTATCAACATGGAATATATTAAAGACATATCCTGATATAAAGATAAGCTTCACAAGAGCTTAATTAATAAAAAAACTGACATTCTAAACATGAGGAGGTAATTACAAATCGTGTACAAATATGTTTAAGTAGGCTGAAAAATTAAACAGAAGCCTATGAATTGTTTCACATGTTTTCATTCACATTAAATATTCATGCTACAGAATTCAAGCCTACAGAAACAAATAAATTCAACATAAATTTTGAGATGTTGTTTTCTTGAAAGGAATTGAAATTAAATGTTTAAGGAATATAATTTTGAGGAGTGGCTGCAGTGCAAATTAGCTTTAGGTTTGGAATCTCTGCTGTTTATAACCTCTCAAAACCCTCCGGTTTTAAAGCGTTTACAAATAATAACTCAGAATGCATAAAAATTACACTGGTAAAATGTTTACCAATATAGACACATTCGACAATATTGGAAAGCTTAGATTCTCCACCATTCAACAACCAAGTTCATTTTAAGAACATAGCGATCACCAAAGCACAATTAACATAAATATAGCAGCACGTCAAAATGTACCATGATAAAGCAGCCACAACAAGCAAGCATGTCTTTATTACTGCTGTTTAAAAAAGTCTTATTTTCGAGAATACAAAAAAAAACTTTCAGTCATGTTTGAACAGATGCAGTTTGATGTTAAGAGGGTAAATACCCACATGTAAAAATCTAATAAAAATATGTGTCTAAAAAACAGACATGATGTAAGAGGATTGTTTTACTTACAAAGCAAACAAAAGGAGTGATGTACTTCCAGCAGTACATCATGAACGGTAATGGACGATAGCCAATCATATCTGTGATGTTGTCATAAAAACGATCCGCACCTACAGTATGAATTAGTTCAGATAACGATTAGAAAATGCTTTAATCATCACAAAAAAAAAAAGATAAATGTTTCTTTCCATTATTGGTAGCTGTTTTATACGTTTATCAAAATCAAGACAACAAAACAGGAAAATAAATCCACAACTCACCATAAACCCACCCAATGCTGATAGACTGACATAAACAAAGGAGCAGCAGAGTGGTGCCACTGCAGACATGGTGGTCCAATAACTGGAGCAGGTAAATCCCACCCTGCAAAGGAGGACAGAGGTGGATAGATTTGCTAGGCTTTTGGTTAAATGCTTAAGCAATAACAGTCTAATATAAATTAAAACATGCTGTAGATAGCACTGTAATGTTTTGCACCATTTCAAAAGTTTTGTTTTAAATTACTTCAAAAGTATTTGACATAAATAAACAATATAGTTATATTGATTGAAAAAAAAAAAAAAAAAAAAATATATATATATATATATATATATATATATATATATATATATATATATATATATATATATATGATTTAAAGCATGGAAAATTGTGACTAAACATGGCTACTTAAATGACTCAAACATTACAAATGTGTTTAGCATAAAGATCAGAAATGCTGCACACCATCCTGTGTTTGCTTGGCTCTGCCCTCCACCACCTGAGAACAGCTGCAACTTATACTGTACCTAGATTTAATTGCTTTCTATTAACTTGTTGGCATGTAGGTGTTTTTGTTTGTAGATTGAGAAAAAAATAAAAAAAATATGATCTTTTGTTGATTTGATTAAAACGTTTGCATTGTAAGCATTTAACTATTATTTAAGTTTTAAGCATTTCCAATGAGACTAAGGCCCATTTTCACATTTAACCTGGCAACGCTGGGATGGATGTACCCAATATCACCTGCAGGTGGCAGTCATCTAAGGGGTATCACTTAAACTAATCAAACTAACATTTAAAGAAAATTTTCAGCCAGAACTTATGACTGTCAAAAACTTCCTTAGCAATAACAAAGAAATGCTTAGGGTTCAGTAGTTGTTACAGTTGTTTGTAGTACTTTATAAACTTGAAAAGTGTTTTGCTTGTACTCCACAGTCTGGAAGAGCAACTGTTGTATTCCCATACATAACTGAGTCCCAGACAGTTCCTGACAGTTAGCGTACTATTTCACTCCATACACCGAAAAAGTCCAAACAGTTTCCTGCCATTATTAAACATTTGACCGCTTGCTAGATAAAATGCTTGATAGTGATGCTGCCAGTGATAATGTTGCAAATGTTAAAAAGATGTATAATAGCAGGAGCCAGGACTGTTGTTAGGCAACACATCACTATGAGCGTTTCACATAAATATGCAAAAGCATGCCTTACAAAGTAATGTAACGGCTTTATTCGACCTAGAGCGGCCCTGCTAAAGTGGTTTGATACTACATCTGTACCCAGTTAATTTCCAAGGTGGTTTTACCCAGTGAATAACCATAACTCTGGCCGAGTAAATGTCAGGATTAAGTTTTAAGTATGAAATGGGATTAAGACAATAACTAAAAGTACATGTCAGAAACAAAGCTAAAGCGAGTATTTGCAAGTGTCACAAGGGATGAATGGTGTGCAAACTGTCACAGTAGCTTTTGATCGAAGAAGACTAAGTTGAACCCAGGGGAGATTATATTTCTTTGTTGAGTGTGTTTGTCATGCTGTGATTGCAGTAATTGGATCTTTTCAGTCTATGTCTCAATCTGTCAATTTTTTTTTGTTGTGCAATGGATGGTCTTTGGATATCAAAAATGAATAAATGTAACACATTGGATCCTGCAATGGCCAAAAATTTCTTCAGGAAGATAGTCTCTTTATGTTTAGCCGATGGTGGAACTCAAGTCCACTAAACTGATAACCACATAAATACTAATCTCTACTATTGTTCACTATCATTCACCACCTAGCACTATATAAAAGGAAAAAAAAGAGTAAATCTAATTGTGCTTGCAAATGACAAAAAAAAAAGCAAATGTGGAGTGTTTTTTTCGGTGTACAAACCTCAGTGACAAGTAAGAGTCCGAACATGCAGGAGAAACAACAAATCATGAGCAGAAGCAGCTGCCGCCTGTAGCCTTGATTCAGGTATAATGGAAAATGATCAACCAGTGATGTCATCACACATTCTATACCGACAAACTGAAATAAAATGATCAGGGGAAAACCATTAGTTTGTTTGTTCATGCATTGGTTCTTTCATCCTTTCATTCACTTACATGCCGATTATTACCTGGCTATCTAGTCCAAGCAGAATGATCATGAGGAAGAAACACACTGACCACACCTGAGGCATTGGCATCATGGCCACAGCACGTGGGTAGACAATAAATGCCAAACCAGGGCCTACAATATAGAAAACAACATTGAAAAGATTTACAAATATCGACATACAAAATAAAAACTGCTTTAAAGTTCTTCTTAAAAACCTAAAGCTGCTAAGGGGTTTAAAAGCTGAGCTTAATCAAAGACCAGATTATTCAATATTAATTCACCAAATAATTTTTTTTCACAAATGTATGTAGTACTAGGTGATGAGTTTATTTTAATATCATGTGTAGGCTGCAGTTAATAGAGAGCTCTGAGTGATAGTCATTAAAACTTGGAATATTATGCTAACTATGAACTTTTTTTCCGTTCTTGCCTGATTCTGCCACTTCAGAAATATCCACGCCTTGTTCATATGTCATAAAGCCCAAAACAGAGAAAATGGCAAAGCCGGCGACAATGCTGGTGCAGCTGTTCAGCAGACACAAGTGGAAGCAGTCCCTGTCAAAAGAGAGAATAAAATGTTTCATGTCAGATATTTATAAAACAATTTAAAGCATAATTTTTGCATATTGGAACATAAGAGTTATTTATGTTAACATATCTATTTGTTATATTTATTTATTTTTTTGGTTTTTAACAATTTAGTATAGTAGTTCAGGATGGTAGTTAAGCCATATAGTTTGCATCCTTTCAACAGAGCGTGTCTGACCATTACCACTTAAAAGCAACCCCATCAGCAGTTCACTGCTTTTTATATTTTTTAATGAATATCAAAACCTTCTGAATTTTCCAGGCGAGTAATTTTAACAGGTGCTCCAAGCTTAGGGATGCAAACCGTAGTACTTTTTTACTTTTGAAAGCTAAGGAAAGCTTTTGACGTTCCTGGATTCATCAGTTCAGGGATTGCTACTGTGATGGGCACAGCAGACTTATGTACAGCCATAGCTATGGGTGTTTTTTCAAGTCACTGAGCCCCCTCACTCTCCAATGTTCTTAGCACCAGTCCCTCATGGTTCCCCCTGTAGGTGCTTGGGCCACTGGGGGATGAACTCAAGTTACTCCATCGAACTTGGCTTTGCCAGGTCCCACAAGGAGGAAGCAGACCACCACTTGCAGACGCATCCCAACCCCAGGCCTGGTTTTGTTGTCATAAGGGCTTTTTGAACTGATCTTTGTCTGACCAATTACTTAGAGCCTGTTTGCCTTGGAAGACCCTAACAGTGGCAATTATGCACCTGACAACGTAGCCTCTGGGTTCACCTGAGCACTGAAACTCCTCCATTGCATTAAAGGGGCAGTTCAAGAAGAGGCCCAAACAAATGATTCCATGTCTATATACAGTTTTAAACTGTGACTCTATCCAATACATCTCTACTAAAATAAATTAAGTTTTTGGAAATGAGTACATGCTCAGAGGGTGCTTAGAGAGATGTAATTCAGTTGTTATTTTACTTACTTGTAACAGTTGTTGTTGTAAGTGTTATAGCTTCCAAGAGAAGTGAGAAAACCAAACCCGATGGCATAGGAGAAGAAGACCTGAGTTCCAGCATCCATCCACACCTGATAAATAGTGCACAAACATATTTATGTGCCTACTTAAACATTTTGTCTTAACAGGTATAAGCATTGAATACATTTTCTTACCTGTGGATCTGAAAGACGGGAGATATCTGGGTAGAGATAATAAATTATCCCATCTAGAGCTCCTGGCAAGGTCACACCTCGCATCAGCAAAATAAAAAGCATAACATAGGGGAATGTGGCTGTAAAGTATGCCGCCTAATATGAGAAAGAAAGAAAAGATGTTTTACGTTTTTTGAAGTATACAGATAAAAGAGAATGAAAATAATGTGGAAGCAGATGCCAAAAAACAAAAGTTAGACATATATATATAGAGGCAAATAAGGGATTCAGGCCACAACCTATTTGTTTCACAAAAAATGTAAATAAAAATACTATTATATACTATACACTCACCGGCCATTTTATTAGGTACACCTGTCCAACTGCTAGTTCACACTTAATTTCTAAGCAGCCAATCACATGGCGGCAACTCAGTGCATTTAGGCATGTAGACATGGTCAAGACAATCTCCTGCAGTTCAAACCGAGCATCAGTATGGGGAAGAAAGGTGATTTGAGTGACTTTGAACGTGGCATGATTGTTGGTGCCAGAAGGGCTGGTCTGAGTATTTCAGAAACTGCTGATCTACTCGGATTTTCACGCACAACCATCTCTAGGGTTTACAGAGAATTAGGGTTGGGAATTGAAAAGATTTTCACGATTCCGATTCCCTTTTCGATTCTATGAAACGATTCGATTCTTTATCGATTCTTTTTTCGATTCCAATTTGGGGGAAAAAGGAGAACAAACAGTTTGATTATCAGAATCAACTTTGTTTACTTAACTATTGCACAATCTTACAAAATCAACAAGATCAAGATGTCCACAGGAAATGTGAAACTGGAGTAACATCTGTGTTTAAATGAAAAATGAATACAAGAACAAACTTAATAACAAACAATGTCTAATAACAAATGATGGGATTATAACCTATTTTAAATAACAAAAAGTACTAATTATAAAACAGTAGTAGGGAAAATTAACAGTTCTTTTGCAGAAAGATGAGCATATCTGCTTTTTCTGGAAGGATACGGGATCTTTCAGGGCTTAAGGTGTCTCCAGCCGTGGAGAACACCCTCTCAGATGGGGTGGAGGAAGCCTGCACACAGAGGTAGTTTTCAGCCAGTCCAGATAGCAAGGGCAGCACATCTTGCTTGTTCCACCACCACAGTGTGGCACTATCCCTGCAGGGGATGGAGGGCAAGCTTTTATAGAGCTGGATTTCCTGATCTACCCTCTGGGCTAAGGAAAGACGGGGCTTTGATTCACAAAGTGACCGCAGCTCGTTGTCTTCCTCCTCGAATAGTTCTTCCAACTTGCGTAACTTGCGTAAGTTGCGTAAGCTGCGTAACGTACGTAAAAAACGTGACGTAAGTCGTGCTCCCCAGAGCCGGCGCGCTAGGCTCTGTTGCTGCGGGAATCGAAAAAAGAATCGTTCAGCGAGCTGCCAAACGATGCCATGGAATCGAAAAATACGGAACCGGTTCTTAACAGGAACCGGTTTTCGATTCCCATCCCTACAGAGAATGGTCAGAAAAAGAAAAAACATCCAGTGAGCGGCAGTTCTATGCCTTGTTGATGCCAGAGGTCAGAGGAGAATGGCCAGACTGGTTCGAGCTGATAGAAGGGCAACAGTGACTCAAATAACCACCCGTTACAACCAAGGTGGGCAGAAGAGCATCTCTGAACGCACAGTACGTCGAACTTTGAGGCAGATGGGCTACAGCAGCAGAAGACCACACCGGGTGCCACTCCTTTCAGCTAAGAACAGGAAACTGAGGCTACAATTTGCACAAGCTCATCGAAATTGGACAACAGAAGATTGGAAAAACGTTGCCTGGTCTGATGAGTCTCGATTTCTGCTGCGACATTCGGATGGTAGGGTCCGAATTTGGCGTCTACAACATGAAAGCATGGATCCATCCTGCCTTGTATCAACGGTTCAGGCTGGTGGTGGTGGTGTCATAGTGTGGGGAATATTTTCTTGGCACTCTTTGGGCCCCTTGGTACCAATTGAGCATCGTTGCAACGCCACAGCCTACCTGAGTATTGTTGCTGACCATGTCCATCCCTTTATGACCACAATGTACCCAACTTCTGATGGCTACTTGCAGCAGGATAATGCGCCATGTCATAAAGCTGTAATCATCTCAGACCGGTTTCTTGAACATGACAATGAGTTCACTGTACTCAAATGGCCTCCACAGTCACCAGATCTCAATCCAATAGAGCATCTTTGGGATGTGGTGGAACGGGAGATTCGCATCATGGATGTGCAGCCGACAAATCTGCGGCGACTGTGTGATGCCATCATGGAGGAATGCTTCCAGCACCTTGTTGAATCTATGCCACCAAGAATTGAGGCAGTTCTGAAGGCAAAAGGGGGTCCAACCCGTTACTAGCATGGGGTACCTAATAAAGTGGCCAGTGAGTGTATATTGCCAAATGTCATAAAATTGTCTTGCCCCTAAATATTATAGTAACAGTAATAAGGAACAAAAGGAAATAAAATACAAAGGCCCTGATCTTCAGAGGGTTGGCTTGTTTTAAAACAGGTGCCAGTAGAACATGCAATCTGCTCATTTTAATGTGTTGGAACCAAATCGCAAGTTTTCACATTTGTACAGCTATGTATGTAGATTAGGACCAAAACAATTTATCGGAGTAATTGTGATTATTGAAATAATCATCAACTGATTTAGTAATTGATTAATTGTTAACTGGAGTATAGAGACTAAAACATGCCTTTAGCTGACAGAGCAACTCACTTAGAGCAGTAATTATACCAAGATTGTAAAAAATAATTAAACATTTAGCGTATATGATAAAAAAAAATATTTTCGTCTGTCAACATGCTCACTCCAGAACTCCTCAATCGGAAAAGTTTTGGTTTCACTTGGTTGAATTTCATTAAAAAATCTGCTTTAAGGAACCTTTGGCTATCCAATTATTAATCAATGAATAAAACAAATAATCAACAGATTAAACTAATTGCAAAGTAATCGTTAGTTGCAACCCTAATGAAGATCATCCCTGAAAGGGCCATGCAGTTAAAAACAAAGAGCACATTCAATCTTTGAACGCCCAAATTTGTAACCCGTGCAAATTGGAAGAATGGTGGCAGTGGATGCTGATAGACACAGTGTGTAAAGGTCACAAAGAGTTAATTTTTACAAATCCCTGTGCAAATTCTCATTCATACAGTTCATGGCAACCACAAAACAGGCTTAAAACAAAGGAAACCGGAGACTTGCAAAAGAACATTTTCAGTTCACAAGGGAAGATCCATAAAGACACTGTTTGTCATAGACATGTGGCTTGTGGAGGAATTAGAGCGTAGACAGACAGCCAGGACTGATAAGTGGTCTGTTATTAAATATTTGTATAAACATGCTCTTTAATCTTGTGGCAGCAATTGTAGAACAGATAAAGCAATTAAAGCTGCAAAGTGTGGCTCAATCTCAAAGCTAACCGAGAGGATAAACCTCATAGTGCTTTTGGAAATATAGTGTGTGTAGAAAATAATGTTTGCCTTTGAACTAACATACCTTTCCTGTTGACTTGATTCCTTTCCAGACACAGAAGTAGCAGATGATCCAACTCAGGATGAGGCACAATGCCAATTCCCACCTCACCCCACCCATCTCTTCAATCCCACCAGAGATCTTTAAAACTCGTTGTCTGGTCAGATAAATGTTGTAAGAGAGTGAGAAAAAAGGAGGAGATTAGGGCTGAATGACATATGTTGAAAGGGAAGAAAACAACATTGATTTTTTGTGACTCTGTCCTCTTGATCCCTTGTCAGTTATCACTGCTTATAGTGAGCCTGATTCTTTTGGAGGGCACCACAAAGTTGTCTGCCTTCCTTTCTAATTTCTGGAAAGTCAATTTCATGCAATGCCATTTGAACAGATAGAAATAAAATGTAGCACATAGTATTTCAAACTGAATTATACATGTCCTTTAATTTAGATCTGTTAATATAAATGAACTGGATTATGCAGTTCTTAAACATTCCCTATGAACTGTACCTGTGTTTCTGATAAAGTACCTGGAGATGATTTTTCTATTTGAATAAGTATAGTTTAAATAACAGAACTGAATATAATAGCACTGAATTGAATTAAACTGCAATAGAAGTCTGCTTCACACTTAGTTTGGTTCTCCCAGAAGTGTTTTATCCATTAATAAGGAGGTTAACCTTCCACTGACACTACATGCTGGTTCAGCATTGTAGATTGCTGCAAAATTAACTACTTTAATAGCCTGTTAACTGTCACAGCATGACTGTTTGGTAAGAAAGGGCTGCCACAAAGTAAATGGATTAAATAAACTTAATTGCATTTAAATGTATTTAGCAATCAAAGAAACTCTTGGAAAGAACTACTTTCTTAGATAGGTTTATATCCCATTTGCTAAAAAAAGAAAATGGAATATACATTTAAATGCAAGAAATTTGAATAACCAATAGGAGTCGTGTATATATAGTAGGAGCCACGGAATATATGTAACTTTAATTTTAATGTGACTGCATGACTGGACTAAACTGACAATACATTACTGTACAGAGTTTGGGATTAAACTGAACTGAAGTTGGGTCTAAAAAAAAAAATCACACTTTTAAGTTTATAAATCACAAGGATGCATCTGTCCAATTTACAATTGTGCAGCAGTATGCAGTGTTTTGTTACATTAAATTTCAAAGTTATAATGTGGCAAAATTCGGAAAAGGCGCTGAATTTAGAAGGAGACTAAATAAAACTAAAAAGGAGCTGATGCATAGGAGATATTGAAAAATGACCCAGAATGAGTGAAGAGATGAAAGAAAGAAGATAAGGGAAATAAATAATAAATAAACTGTCTGACTTGTAGGAACATATGCTTACTGCCAGAATTCCACAACTGGGAGCGTGGTGTTCAGTTTGGATTTCATACTCAGATTCAGACGGTTGTCGAAGCAGGACTCTAGAAACAGAACACAAAAACATATATTAGAAGGCTTAATTTATGCAGCAATATTTTAAAAAGTTACACTCTTCTAAATAAAAACATAACTTTGAAAGCAACTTAAATCCCTTTTACAGAGCTGCAAACAGTAAATGATAATAAATTACCTGAATTCCAGTAATTCCCACATGAAGCCCACGGCAAATCTGAGCTGAAGGATGAGAATAAGTAGAAGAAAGCCCAGGCAAGGATCATGATATAAGAAGTTGCACTGAATGCGATAATCAGGTGACTGGCATAGCCAATGCCTAGGGGGAGAAGCAATAAATCAGTCTAGTGTGTTGACATTTATAATCGAAATAAAGTACTGAGAGAATAAATAAAAATTATTAATTGTAACTGCGTACTTTGTCCTGTGAAACAAAAGCCTAAAAAGTAAAGGTTATTTTATGAGGCCGTTAAAAAATAATCAAATTTTCCTACATTTTTTCCTGTCTTTTGTTCCCAGCTGAGAGGAGAACACACAAAGTCTTCTTACTGAGGCTAACTTTAAAACTCAACCTGAATTTTACTTTTTTTTTTTATTCAGTCAGGATTTTAATTCATTTAGACTTTTATGTTTCACTAAAACTGCATTTCTGACTGCATGATAGGGATGCAACATAAATCCAGAAGTCTATTAGGGGAGGAGGTTGTGTGGCTGTTGGTATCATACTTTGCTGTGAGGAAGAGACAGAACTGCAGACACTATAAAATAAGTCACTGAGTCACTATGATGACTGTATCTTTTTCATCTCATTACCTGCCCAAACAGTTTTTTTAGATCACTATTATTCTCTTTCATATACCCGGTACAGCTGAGCACCTCACTGCCAGCTGCAACAAAGCAGTCAGTGAGACATGAATGAAGCGGTAAAATTTAATGGGTGATACTGTATAACCACAACCTTCCTTCCTCTCTTAAAGGAATTATGTCAAAATGTTCACCAAAAAATATGCTGGATTTATGCTTTAGTAGAACCACAAATGCTTGTATTACAAAGCCATGCCCACTACTTGGCGTGTTGGAGAATAATTTTATTATGTTATTACCCAAACAGCAACACGCAGGTAATTACTTGGTTTATGGGTACACTTTGTGATAACTAATCATAATAAAATCTAGAGTTGTGCTGCCAAATTTATCTCTCTTTCAGACAGTCAGCATCCAGGACCAGCAGGTGGAGCAGTGACAGACATTTAGGGATCTGGAACAAAAACTGAGATTCAAATTTCTTAGAGCACACAGACTAAATTCCTATTTTTTAATTGTTTTTTCAGGGACAACAATGTAAAAAACACATCAAGAAGAACATTTTAACACTGTTATTTTAAATCTGTTATTTAATCTTTCATCTCTTTCAGCATTTTACTCTGCTACCAGGCCAGCAAAAATGAATGTTTGATCTCAAACATCCCTCTCCATTCCCTGCACAAAATGTAAATCTAAATAAGTCATTTTTTCTTAAACTAAGTGCATTTGTTCTTGAATTGAAGAGGTAAGTGAGACACTTTGCCTATGAAACAAGACAATTTACATTTAAAATAAGAAAAAGCAACTATGTTGTCTTATTACAATTGCATATTATCTAGTTATCTTATTTTAAGAATAAAAATACTGATTTAATTGGCAATTCATCCCATTTACCTACTAAAATTAAGGGTAGATACTCTTAATTTTAAGAAAATTTTACTTATTTCTGGACTATTTTTGCAGCATGCTGCTTAGCCATGAAGAAGACTCTTCTCCTTCAGAATTGAAGAATTCCCAACAATGGCTCAGGAAGATGATACGGAATGGTCTTTCTACTTTGTTGCTCACAAACCATCATAAAGCCACAATTAAAAGATACTTTTGTCTTAGTGTAACGGTGTAATGTGGGATGCTGTATGTTAGATCTGGTCTGAGTGTATTCTGCAAGACTCCAGAAAAGCACTCTTGATATCTATGTCTCAAACTTCATGGTAAGTTTTGTCTTTTTAGCCCATAGTTTCCAAACTAAATAAGAAAGTTTGTAATTAAGAAGTAATAATGAAATGTCTGTTTTAGAAATATGCAGCAACTGCATAGAAAATCTGTAACAGAAGTCCACCATTTATACAAGGTTTTGAAAGCTAATAGGAGCTAATATCTGTCTTTATTCTCAATATCTACAGAAATAACACTCAATTAATTAATAACTTTTTTTTTCTTTGTGAAGATGAGTTTGTTTACAAATCAGAATATGGGAAATAGGCACATTTTAGTTACTGTTAAAAGGTGCTTTTTGGATTGCTGACCCTGGTTTGAAAATTTTAAGTTGACATTTTTAGAGAAACATTAATTCAATTCAGTGTGTTTTACCTTGAAAAAGCGGACAAATGTGTCGCCAGCATGTAATTCCGCCTTGGCTTGTGTACTGCCCTAACGCAGTTTCAAGGAAGAACAGTGGGATCCCACACGTGAATATGAACAGGATGTATGGAATAAAGAATACACCTAGAGAAAAACAAAAACAATGACTTTTATACTTAAATAAACTTGTGAGATAAAGACACTGTGCGTAAAAGCCTGTGCGTAAAAGCCTCACCTCCACCGTTCTTGTAACAGAGGTATGGAAATCTCCAGATATTCCCAGGCCCGATAATTGCTCCCATTACGGTGAGGATGAACTCCGCTTTGGTCCCCCAGTGGCCCCGCTCCTCAACCTGCTTTGGCTTCTCAGTGTATCCATCTGGGACGCAAATCACTGCGTTTCCTTTCACTCCTTTCTTTGTCATCTTTACTTTTCGTCACAAACGCTGAGCTTTGTGAGCAAAAGTTGTGGCACATAAACAGGCCACACCAAGCTGGAGGAGAGAGAGATCTGCTGGGATGTGAGCGGAGCTTTCTTTCATTATCTGCTGGTATCGCAGCTATTTAAGTTGGAGATGGACTCCTGTGTAGTGATAATGGGGGGCGTTTCTTTGTAGAGTTAAAAAAGTGTAGGCTTGAAGTTTGGTGAAGCAGAACCACGCCTACCATTTTTCCCTCTAATACAGATGGTGGCAGCAGTAATACGTAAAATGTTCTAACTTATTTAACATATACATTTTTCATGTGTTAACAGTTTGTTGACAACAAAAACACAGTGGTTAATTATGCACATCAATATACCAACATTAAAAATGATAAATACAGAAATCATGCTCTTTTTGAAATGAGATTTTGCCTTATTTGGTAAAGAAAAAATTATGTATCTGCAAGTCATCTATGAGCCTTCAGTGAACTCAACATTTTAATAATAAGTAATCAATTTAATATAGATATTAATACATGTAAATATGAATTTTATTCAGAACGACTTGATGAAAGTAATGACAATGAATAAGATTTGCCCCAGAACTCAAACCTGAAAGAATTTTGTCCACTATACGATTACTTTAGACAGCATGGATGTTTAAATATATGTGTCTATGTTTTAGCAAAGGCTGTAGGAAATTATAGTTAGTCTTTATTTAGAAAATATGGATGTTGTGGTTGTTAATTTTTTTTTATGAACAGTGTAGATTGACCCTGAGCTTCACGTGCCTATCCGCTTTTTGCCACACCCCAGTGTACATTGGTTATTCCTTGGCCACCCTTATAACATTTTTCTAGGCTTCTGTGTGTGCATGGCGTATAAGCGTAATGTCTCATGTTTAATATGCTATTAATCTGATGTGTTAAAATCAATTATAAAACAGTTCAATCATAGATGCACAGGGATTACTTTCTGAGGGACTGGTGTGGACATGTCCCCACCAATAATTTTCACTTTTTTCCCCCCTTTCCACTCATTTGCTTTAGCTAAAGGTAACAGAGGTTGGGTGCAGCTCTGTGTTCAGAGCATTTTGAGTCCTTTTTTTTTTTTTTGCTCTCTCCCGCAGCTGCCGTGTCCTGCATCTCGGTCTAACATCATCGGATCTGTTGCTTTGTGACATCTGATTTGTGGTCGCATTAGTTTGTTTTTCATTCACTTACTGTGAAATATAAGAAAACTGTTTCTATCTTTAAAAAATAGATGAAAAGTTTGTAAGAATAGTGTAATTTTTATTATCACCGAATGGGGCAGGGATTAACTGATCATAGTTTACTTAAGAAAAAGATAAATTAACACTAGTAATTCAAATAACACTACACTGAAAAGGTAATAATAATTTACTAAATGATCATTCAGCAAAATAAAATATTGATAAGAATCTTTACTTAAAAACAATTCTAAAAAAATATACTATCCCAGACAAACTAGAGTACCTTGCTCATAAACAGTGAACCAATATACCTGTAAACCTGTGCAGAGCGCTTATTGAACATTTCCTGAACTTTACAGAAAACACCTGATTTCAGTGATTGCCTCATATTGTTAGCTCAGATGGACGGGTGTGTAAACTTTAAAGCACAGCTGTATAGTTGTATAGTTCAACCATTACATCTATTCAACACTATGCTTTTGAATTTGCAGATATTTACCTTTTATTTGCCAAAATTACATGGGCGGAACAAAATATTTCAGCCAATTAAAGTACGTAGTTGCCCCTGGATAAAGTGAAAATAAATTAATTTACCACACTGCGAAAACGATCTAGAAATAAGTAAAAATGTCTTAAATTAGGTGTATTTACCCTTAATTTGAGTACGTTAATAAGATGATTTGCCAATGAAATTAGTACTGTTACTCTTAAAATAACATAATTAGATAATGTGAACTTGAAATAAGACAATGCAATAGTTTTTTCTTATTTTAAATGTAAATTATCTTGTTCCATTGGCAAAGTGTCTCAATCTCTTCCTCAATTCAAGGAAAAATTAACTTATTTAAAAAGAAAAGACTTACCGGTACTTAGATTTCCATTTTTCGCAGTGCAGAAAGTCTTTTACAGCCGTTAAAAATCCCATTAAGGACAACAAACCCTGTGACATTTTCTCTTTGTTTGCACTGGAGGAACCAAAAAGCTGAAATATTCTGCTTCTATAACAAAGGCACAAATTACTTCACCTACAAGCATTTTGCAGTGTTTATTCCTCCCAATATGGACAATAAGTTGTGTAGAAATTAATTTGCTTTTTATTTGCAAGAATTATATGGAATGAACCAAATTTTTCAGTGGGCTGAATTATTTTGTTTCTCCTCCACAACATAATTTACTAGCATCATGGATGTCAATGTGAAGACTTTGGCTCTTTCCTTTCCTTACTTACATATTATGCAATTTTTGCAAAGAAAAAGTTCAGATTTCAAAATTACATTTACTAAGATTTCAACAAACTCTCATCAAACAGGCACTTGACAGAAAAGAGAGCAAACAAAGAACATCTAAAGCAAACAATCTCCTCTTTTTTGGAGGGCTTCCAACACAGATCTGATAGAACCACCTCAGGCAGGTCTCATCTTGGATATAAAAGAAACAAATAAGAATTTTTTAGGACATGGATGATTTGTGCTTCGATAACATTACAGTAATTGGAGTATTCCTCCCGTGTAACTTTGTCATAAAGAGCAAATATTTTATGTTCACAAGACGTGTTTGTCCTTGATGGGAGGAATAAACACTGTAAAATAATTGCAATTGAATTAATTTGTTGTTATGTTATGGGGAATATATGATTTCAGTGTTCTGATACATGTGGTCCCCTCCATGTAACTTGGCAAATAAAAGGCAAATGTCTCCAACTATGAAATAACCTATCCTACATGATGAAAGGAATAAACACTGTAAAATACTTGCTCATAGTGTCATGAAACAGGAGAGATGGACCCAGTGTTCAAGGTGAGGCAGCCAGTAGGACAGTTCAAAACGTTTATTGAAGCAAAAACACACAAAACAGAAACGCGCTGCTGTGCAACTGCCACCGCAGTGACTGCAGGTGCGGACAAAACCCATCACTGATTCTGTAGAGAGAAACACAGGTAAGTGACCACGATCATCTGAATAGAAGATGATAATTAGAGTGAGTCACTTACCTGGTTTAACAGTACAGTCCACTCAGAAATAGACAGATCCGGGTTCCAGGAATCCACAAGAGCACGAAAGCAGGTTCAGAGTCCCATGCAGCTCAGCATCCAGCTCAGACAGAAAACACACCTTGGAGGACAGGTTCAGAGTCCCGTGTGTCGAGCATCCAACTCAGACAGAAATGCACAAACAGGCAGAATCCAGCAGAAGTCCAACAGAGGTGCAGGAGGGCAGATCAGACAGGGCCAGTGGATGAGAGGAAACAGAATCAGGAAGACAGAATAACTTGGGAAATGCTGAAACATTCTAACCACTGGTTAGGGAAATAACTCGCCTCAGGATACTGGCTTAAGAACAAACTCCTGGCTGGAACAGGGACATGAATCTTGGAACCAACTAAAATAAACAAAACTTACTGACTGGAGAAACAGAAATCAAACAATAATCTGGCCATGATAGCTGCAACTGAACCCAATATAAGGGAAACCGGCAGCTGGATGAAATGAGTGATAATTGGGAGCTGGAGAGAGCTAAGCCGGTGAAAGGTGTAGTGGGAAAAAAGTATTTAACTATTCAACCTAATTAGATAAATGGAGATCGGTCGATTTCACTCAGTAAGCACTTTATTAATCATATCATATCTTTGCAAAGAGAGAACAGTTCATCGTACAGCACTTATGGCACAGTATTCAGCCCAATTCTGCCCATATTTATTCATTTTACTGGTTTATTCATAACTTAGTATTTTATTTAGGTTGTTTATTTATTCTGCTCTCAATTGCCAACCCAAAATCCACATGGACTGTTCCAGATGAAAAAATAAACAGCATCTAAATGGATCCTTATGAGATTAGGTTAGCTGTTTTTCTCTTGTTTTATATTCTCCACCCATTTTTCTTCATCAGAACAAATAACATGTTCTGTTGAAGAAACAACAACCTAAAGTTTTAGTCAGTTTAACCTCCAGATGTACAGGTGCTGGTCATAAAATTAGAATATCATGAAAAAGTAGATTGATTTCAGTAATTCCATTTAAAAAGTGAAACTTGTATATTATATTCATACATTACATACAAACTCATATATTTCAGATGTTTATTTTGTTTAATTTTGATGATTACAAATGACAACAAATGAAAATCTCAAATTCATCATATCAGAAAATTAGAATATTACTGAAGACCAATAAAAACAAAGGATTTATAGAAATGTTGGCCAACTGAAAAGTATGAACATGAAAAGTATGAGCATGTACAGCACTCAGTATTTAGTTGGGCCTCCTTTGGCCTGTATTACTGCAGCAATGCGGCGTGGCATGGAGTCGATCAGTCTGTGGCACTGCTCAGGTGTTATGATAGCCCAGGTTGCTCTAATAGTGGCTTTTAGCTCTTCTGAATTGTTGGGTCTGGTGTATTGCATCTTCTTCTTCACAATACCCCATAGATTTTCTATGGGGTTAAGGTCAGGAGAGTTTGCTGGCCAATTAAGAACAGGGATACCATGGTCCTTCAACCAGGTACTGGTAGCTTTGGCACTGTGTGCAGGTGCCAAGTCCTGTTGGAAAATGAAATCTGCATCTCCAAAAAGTTGGTCAGCTGCAGGAAGCATGAAGTGCTCTAAAACTTCCTGGTATGTGGCTGCGTTGACCCTGGACCTCAGAAAACACAATGGACCAACACCAGCAGATGACATGGCACCCCAAACCATCACTGACTGTGGAAACTTTACACTGGACTTCAAGCAACGTGGATGAAGTGCCTCTCTTCTTTTCCTCCAGACTCTGGGACCTTGATTTCCAAAGGAAATGCAAAATTTACTTTCATCAGAGAACATGACTTTGGACCACTCACCAGCAGTCCAGTCCTGTTTCTCTTTAGCCCAGGCAAGACGCTTCTGACGCTGTCTGTGGTTCAAAAGTGGCTTGACACAAGGAATGCGACAGCAGAAACCCATGTCTTTCATACGTCTGTGTGTGGTGGTTCTTGAAGCACT